GGTGGCACTGGTGCATACTCCTCCCTCCCCTTTGTTGTCCCCCTTTCTTCTGGGCCTCCATTAGGGGCTTTGTCTTTGATGTGTGGCCCTTCAAGTTCCTCCTCTTCAAGGGCTAACTCCATGTTGATGTACTCCTCCAGGGGCTCTTGCTCCCTCTCATCAAACAGATTCTCTTCCATGTATCCCAGGTCATCGAGGTCCTCCTCAATAGTTGGGACTGGTGGAGGTTGGATGCTTATTGGTTGTCATTCCATTTGATCTGACCAGCACTGCATTTCCATGAATCTTGCCAAGTTGCTCCAGAAGATGTTCAGAGTATAGTTGGGGCTGTAAAATAGCCATCCCTTTCTCTCCAAGCTGTACCCTAAGAATATGGCTGCAACTGCTTGCTGGTCCAACTTCTTGTTGTTTCGCTTGGCTTTCAGAACATTCACCCAAGCTAGGCATCCAAATATGCACATGAGGCAGATGAATCATTCTGGTGACCTCCTGAACATGAGCTGGTATGGGAACTCTCTGTCAATGCTGGGAGTGAGGTTGATCTTGAATGCTGCTGCTTGTATCATGTGTGACCAAAACCTCTTTGGTAGACTCCTTTGCATCAGTAGCATTTGCATCTTTTCACCTAGGCTCATGTTCATCTGCTCTACTCATCCATTTTGCCTGCTATTGTATCCCATGGTAGTTTGCCATTCTATGCCCTTTCCTAGCAACCATTCTAATGCTTCATTGCTCTTCCATTCAGTTCCTTGATCAGATTGGATTGCCTTTAGCTTCCTATTCATCTGTGTCTCTAGGAATGAAACAATCCTCTTGAGTTGCATAAATGCATGGCTCTTTTGCAAAAGTGGCTGCACATGTACATACTTGCTATAGTCATTGACCAGCACTAATGTACACATGTATTCTGTCACATGGGATGAGTCTATGATCAGATTGATGTGGATAAGATCCAGGGGCCCCATGGCTCTTTCGCTGCTACCTTGCCCCATCCGAGCACTTGTGCTCTTGGATCATATGCACTGCTCACATGTCAGAGCAGTGTTTGGATCCAATTCCATGGTATGCTTATCTTTTAACTTGCTCGTGATTGCCTTAGCTTTATCCCTCCCTGGGTGTCCGAGATGCTCATGCCATAGTTGTTGCTTCGAAACTTTCAGCTCATTCTCAATATGCTCGAACTCCTCATCAATGCCTTCAAACAATGGTGTTGATGTGGCCATTGCACTTTCTTGCCATGTGTCACCTCGGAACTCCAAAAGTCCTTGCTCACAATTCTTTGCAATCTTAAGTGTCATGCTGTTTGTTAGAAAAATTTGACTGCCAGTTGTGTCCAATATCACTTGTGCTCCTTCATCCATTAATGAATTTGTTGACAGAAGGTTAACATTAAGGTGCTTCACATATAATACATTTTGTAGGGAGATTTCCCCATAATCTGTTGATATGCTTGCATCTCCTATAGCTGCTGCTTCCAAGACCTTGCTTCTGGTGGTAATTATCCACTTTTGGCAAGTTCTCAGATGGATGAGCATGCTATAGTCATTCACCATATGATAACTCACCCCTGAGTCCAAGATCCAATGAGCTGTTTCTTTTGTGTTTGGGGGGTCTTGCCATTTCAATGGGAGGGTGAGGGAGCACCATGCTTCCTATTTAGGTTTAGCAAGGGGGGAGTCTTTGGGAATGGTGACTGAGGCATCACATTGACTGATACCATGTCCCAGTCACTTGCAGATCCAGCATTGGATTTGTCATGGTCTGCCTGTGTTCTTAGGGCTTGTCATGGGCCTGGGTGCGCAGAACGAGGAAAGACCGAAGTTCATATGAAGGTAGTGCAGGAATCGTGGAATCGGGTAGATCATAGGAGTTGCGACAGAGTTCACTGAGATCAGCAGTAGAATCTGCTCTATGGCAGACCACAGCGAAATCCGCATGAGCATTGTCGATATCATGAATCCCACCAGAATCTGCAGCAAGCGAGAATGTGTGGCAGATTCTGCAGAGATTGGTAGTAAGGATGTCCATATGGCAATTCACATGCAAGAGGGACCGAGCTCAGTGACATGCAGTCAGTTACCACTCAGGGGCCCACAGGACAGGAGTAGAAGAGAACTGTCACTGGTCAAAGGAAGGAGATCTGTGTATAGGACACCAGCGAAAGGGACATGAAGAGGAGGAGCAGTGTCAATGAAGTCGACACAGCTCAGGAAAGACAGGAGGGACAAGGCTTGATATGGAGGAGGTGCCTCCTTGGAGATCCCTGTGCAGTACTCGATGAAGAGGGTACCCTCTGGAGAGAGGGAGCAGGAGCAGTGTCGCTGGCAACACTGCAAAGAGGTATATAGTCCTACCTCCTTGTCACAAATGGTCAAGTGGATCCTCATCCACTCTACTCATCAAACAAACTAGTATTACTTCAAAACAAATAAGTATCATTAGTTCACAGTCAGCATAGTAGTAATCAACAGATTGCTCCTCATCGAAGTGCATGTGTTGTATCACTGTTTCCTGATGTCTGAAGGCAGTTCGTAGCAAACCAGCAGTCCAGATAACCATAGAACTGAAGGCAGATGTCCACTGTGGCCCAGGGATCACTTCAAGCATTAGTCGACACACTGGACACTCATGTCAGCATCAACAATCCATACTCACACCAGACCATTGGTGTCAAGATCAAGTTCACTTAGAGTCATATTGTAGTTTGATCATGCTGAGCTACCTCTGGATGGAGTGTCCACAGTGGTTAGTTGAAATCTGTCATAACGATAACACAACTACAGATTCCAACGAGAAAGGTGACAGAGAAGGCTCTGTCGCATATTTCACTAGGAATCGAAATACCATTAGCACTGTCACATAACTCGACAGAATCGGTGATAGTATCAATACTACCACAGATCTCAGGTTTCAGGCACGCAACCGCTGACAGGGCTCATGTCACTGTTGTCGGCTTCGGTCTCTCCAGCCCATTCGTCTTGATCATCATTGCTGGTGGCCCTAGTGCTGGCCTTTTGGGGGTCGATCTTTTGTGTGGGGACACTCTCAATGGTGGTCTGTTGGATGCTTAGTGCAGTGGCAAGGGTGTTGAAATCGATTTGCTGAATGGTGGCAACCATCTCCTTATACACTGGATGCCAGATTGTGCATTTCTGCAGGGCTGAGAACAATGTATCATCAGCAAATGGCTTTCTGAGGAGACTGCTTTCAGTTTGAATGGATCAGATCTCTTGGATTAACTTTCTAGCATCTGAATGAAACATCTTTATGTTGCTGAGCTGTGAGATGAGTGCAAGTCTGTGAGACATCTTGGTGGCTTTGTTCATTAGGCCATTTTCAATCTTTCTCCACACTTGATGGAAAGTGAGATACTCTTTGATTATGTCTAGAACAAGGTAATTGACATTGTGTTCTCCAGTAGTGTCAATTGTTCCTTGGAGAGCATTGATCAAGGCATCATTGAGAGAGTGACTCCATTTTGGGTGCTTCTTGTCATATGTTCCCTTGAGGTGTTTCATTGCATGAGGCATGGATTGAAGGAAAGACTTCACATGGGTGCTCCAGCTGTAGTAGCTGTGTGATGTGAGCTTTGGCACAGGTTCAAGAAGCTTTGCTAGGGTGTGAAAGTTATATTGCTTGTCACCATCATTGAAATCAGAGTTGGAGTTGGCATCTTCATCAGTTTCATTGTTGATGACTTCCAGCTCATTCTCATTTGTGGCATCATTGTTGGCTCATACCTGGGTGGTCTTGCCTTTCCTGCTTCCTTTGGTCCTTGTGCTGGTGCCAACCTGGGTTTTGGTGTCTTCTACCATGGTTGGCAATGTGTATTGGTTAGCTCGATGATAGCTTCTTCAGACTCTTAATCAATTGAAGATAACAATTAGTATATGGCATTATCAGGGTCATGATCAGACTCCCTTTACCACAGTTGTATGCTTCTTGTAATGCTTATATTTCTTTTGTGTGAACCTAAAATGACAAGTGCATATATATATCTTATTGCCACTTTGGTCATATCTGAGCCAGAGTGAGTCACTTCCTTCATACCCCTATGTTGCTACTTTGTGAGGTGCCTCTGAGCTGTTGCCATGACAACCTTCATATGCCTCATTGTGTTTCTCGCTTATGCGGGCGTTCGGTGCTTCGGTGTCTCGGCTGTGCCTCGTGCATCCCTCTTGTGATGCCGATGAATCTTCAACTAGTAGACATAGCTGAGTGCTAAGGTGTATATATACTCATGTTTAGTAACCACCTTCAAGGAGGAATAGTAGCTAGATACATAGTCCCAACTGACTGAAAAAGAGTGCCTGATCGTGGCCTCTTGAATCAACGGCGTACCTAAATTCAACTGCCTGAAACCCGATATCTGTTGGAAAAGCTTGTCCTGACCGATTTCGGTGAAATCTGTCAAGTGAGCTTCTTCCCACCGATTTCAGTGAGATTTGCTGGAAGACTGTCTTCCGGCGGATTTCGACTAACCGCTGTGAACACTCCGTCCAGAGGTAGCGTGGCACGTTCAGAGTCCTTGGATTGCTCTATGGAATGAGTTTGCCTGTCTTCGCACGAGTGCTTGTAATGCTTGGACAGTCGTATGATGGTACTGGTGGTGGTGCCAGGACCACAGTTGAGGTAACCCTAACTCCCATGTAAGACCTACTTATGCCACCGGAGTAGAAGTACTTGCCCGTTGGTGCATACATAGAATACCACTTGTCGCGCTGGCTAACTCCCATGGCTGAGTCAGAATCATCTCGACCTTTGTCTACGCAGAATTGGTGTGACCAGGAGCGAGTCCAGTGCAAGTTGTCGACAAAAGCTCACATGCCCATCGTCGTATCTCTGAACAGCTGCGGGGCGACTCAAAACCATCGAACAAATCACAGCAAGTTGCAGTGACAACAACTTGAAGGTGCTTGGCATTGAAAAATTGGACACTGGCTGCCATACACTGTCTGATGAGCGCAAGATGGCAGCCTGGCAAGACGCTAGCTGTGCACTCAGAGTTTTGATCTCGGATCCGTAGCAGAAGCTGGCCAAGCTACTGGGTTGAACCATTTTGGGCTGCGTTTCTGTGTTGATTCGAAAGCAGAACGGAAACACGGAGAGATTTGAGTTAGCAGAGGTTGGGCGGTAAGACACAATTGATGCCCGCACGACAGCGTCGTGACACTTACTTCTTTGAAAGCTTCGAGACCTTCATTAATGTTCTTGCCGACATACAAGAGTCGACTCCTGTCAGAGAGCATGTTGTTGCATGCCGAAGCGTCAATGTCGCCATCAGTTGCATCGCGAGCCATGACGAGTGCAGATTTGGTGACCAGAACGCTGTCAGGGCTGTTCTGAGTCAGCTGAACGGCAAGCTCAATAGCAGCCTGGTCGACAGCGGCTTGGCCTAGCACCTCGGAAGTGGATTTGGCCACCTCGACGAGACGATTGACCATATTGTATCGGTCGTGAGCTTCCTTTGCGCTGATCGACTTTCCGAGCAGGAGAAGTTCCGAGGCACGTTGCTGGGAAACAAGACGGGCGATCACAGTACAGGATTACATAAATAACAGCGAAAGTATGATCAAAGGTTGGATGTAGAAATGGCATGGCGTCAGCGATGGTCGAGGCTGACAGCTTCTTGAGCTGTTGCGATGAGCACTTACATGACCGCAGAGCTGTGTCAATCGAGGAATGCCACCCATAGCAGCAACCACTCCTCTTGCCACTTCGGGAAGGCCGATGACGGACCGAGTGCTTGCGACGACCATATCGCAGTTGAGGATTGTTTCGGTACCACCGCCCATGCAGATACCGTCGACTGCTGCAATGATGGGTTTGGCACTTCTGCGTGTGCTCATGCCGCCAAAACCGCCACGTTTGAGCCTCTCAAGGGACTTATTGACCTCGGCATCGGGCTGCATGGGCTCTCCAGTAGCGTGCCTCACGGTTTCGGAAGTTTGATTCTTGTTGAGCCAGTCCTTGAGGTCCTGTCCAGCACAAAAAGCTCTTCCTTTACCGGCAAGAATGATGACCCACAGTGAAGGTTCGGTCTCGAACCAGTCGAAGACACGGCAGATGTCTTGCTCCATGGCATCTGTCATGGCGTTGAGTTGCTTAGGCCGGTTGAGAGTCATCTGGAGGACATGGCGAGCAGGGATTGTCAGAATGAGATGGGAGCCCACCTTGGGCATCACTAGCTTTAGCGTGGACATGATGAACTAGCTTGACGAAGCAGCGTTTTGGATAGCGGCTGTACGATAGACGTGTTCGGAATGGTTGGGCGAATGTTGTGCAAATTTCAGTTCGTGGTAGGGCAGTCCGAGTTCTTGGGGCTCAAGGTGATCGACGTCAAAGTTCAAGCCTTAATGTAGGTCAGTAGAAGCTGAAGTACTGCCGAAGTGAGAGGAAAGGGATGCTGTTGAAGTACCACATGGATCATGTCAAAGAGGGCAACCATTCTGTTGAGCCGGTCGCCCGGTCATTCTTGTCCGGCAATCAAAATGGCTAAAGCGAAGGGAAACGTGGGGAAGAAAAACGGAGGCCGATCCTGAGAAAATCACCGATGAAAGCCCCGATGGAGCTGCGAATTCCTCCACATTTCTGCACGCAAGCATGTGCCGGCGGAGTGATTCCAAGGAGCATGCACCGCCTTTGTTTCCGCAGCTCAAGGTTAAAGATCTGATGAAGAGCCCATCCACATTCTTTACCACAAGCATCCGCTCACATATCACCTTGACATCCACATTTTTACCTTAATACGGTACTCGAATTCAAGACCCCTGGCTTGGAAATTGCTCGACACAATGACTGACGGCGCCGATATTATTCTGATCCTGGGTGAGTTGAAAGTATACGACCGGCATCACTGGCTAGTACTCACAATACCGACTTTACAAACCTTATCCATCATTTACTGACGCTAAACTATACTTCCTGCAGTGGCTCTCATCTTCCCGCCAGCCGCAGTGGCCTTCATCACAGGTGTAAGTAGAAGCCCGATGGCATGGAGAGGAAGAGAGATCACGACGTCAAGCCAACTTACACTCCTTCTCTTGTCCTACAATCATAGTGCTCGTGCGACTTGATGATCAATATTCTTCTCACGGTCTTGGGGTGAGTACGGCTAGCCTTTCACTCACAATGAGCCCTTGTAGACCATCAGCTGACGTTTTCGCCTTTGCTGCGGTGAACTGATGTTCACCTCTGGCTCTTGTTGTCACAGCTACCTCCCAGGACACATTCATGCCTGTAAGTCGACCTCGTCCTTGAGCTACTGCATTGTTGAATTATCTGACCACAATTCCTGACCTTCTTGCTGCTTTCGATCCACAGTCTGGCTAATCTATAAGAAGATGAAGGCCGAAGAACGCTTCAATGGGGCCGTCACATATCAGGGCAACGGCGAGTGGATGCCCAAGTACGGACAGCCGGTCTTTCAGGCTCCACCACCGTCTTACGGAGCCACTCAGTGAAAAAGTCAGGGTCTTCGATTCCTCCGCATCCGCATGTTCCCTACCAAGATCAAATGGCCCCGAACGCTGGCATGTCTTACATATGCTTCTTGTCTCGAATCCATTTCCGTTTTCTTCCATACCTGTATTTGGGTTTGACCTCTGATCTCAAACTTGAGACCTTTGCTTTGCCAACGTTGACTCATCCTAACTGCTTTTCAATGTCAAAGATACTCGTACACTGACAGGGCTGTTCATAGAGAGGCAATCGACAAATCTGGTGAAGATTTAGTGGGAATTTGAGCGAAATCGGGAAGGATCGGGAACCTATGACGCAGGGTTGATCTCAACCTTGAAAGAATCAGAGTTGAAGAGTCACCGGGATAACCAATATGCGAGAGAAGCGAGTAACCGACAGACCGATCCCCTGCATGCATACTAAGTTGAGTGGCGACCAATCAGGAGAAGCATATGAAAGGAAAATGCTGAGATACTACAAAGTGGGCATGACTCAAAGGAGAACAACAAGCCATCTCATTAACAGGACAAAGGTATATATACACAACCCTGTAGCAATAGTGCACAATAAAATACCAGGCATTACATCTACGACACACTAGTACAAAAGAGCTAGAACATGGCTTGGACAAGGAGGTGCATGGTATAGCTTCAACTGATTAAGAGTCTGAAACCTCTACCAAAGCAAACCATGGTAGACAACACTGACCCTCAAGCTGGGGCCAGCAAAGCTGCCAAGAGGTCTAAAAGAACCAAGAAGGTGACAATTGTCCAGCAGACACAAACAGCAAATGATGACAATGAGATCAACAATGACCCCAAAGACAAATCGGATGATGATGATGATGGCAAACAATACAGCTTCTGTACATTAAGCAAACTCCTCGAACTGGTGCCAAAGCTCACCACCCAGAACTACTATAGCTGGAATGCGCATGTAAAGTCTTTCCTCCGATCAGTACCATATGCTATGGAACACCTCGAAGGAACATTTGATGCAAACCATCCCAGATGGAGTTGCTCATTCAATGATGCATTAACAAATGCCCTATGAGGGACCATCAACACCATGGGAGAATACAATGTAAACTATCTTCTTTTGGACATAATAAGAGAGTACCTCACATTTCATCAAGTCTGGAGCAAGATAGAAGCAAGGTTAGGTGACGACACCACCAGAACCTCTCACCAGCTCACTCTGATCACTCAGCTGGGTGATATCAAGATGTTCAATTCTGACGTTCGGAAACTCATACAGGAAATCAGGACCATCCAGGCCGAAGGAAGCATCCTGGGAAGACCATTTGCAGATGATACAATCTTCTCTGCTCTCCAGAAATGCACGATTCACCACCCAATGTTCAGGGAGACAGTTGCCACCATCCACCAACTCAACTTTGAAGCGCTGGCCATGGCACTTAGCATATGTCAATCGGCATTAGAGAGCATTCCCACCCAGAAGCTTGATCCCCAGCAAGGTCATGCTAGGACAGCAGGTGATGGTGACCAGGGCAAATCAGCCCACGAAACTGATGACAATGATGACAACAAAACTGCCAAGACTGGATACAGATGCCGAAGAATCTGGTGTTTTGTGTGCAGGCAAGTTGGTCATGGTGCAGGCAAATGTGACGCCACCATCACCATTCCCAAAGAGTTGCCACTCACCAACTCCAAATAGGATGCTTGGTGCTCCCTCACCCCAAGTTGGAAGAAGAACCCAGAAGAAACGACCTGTTGGATACTGGATTCAGGAGCTAGCTTTCACATGACAAACAACTATAGCACGCTCATAAACCCAAGAACCTGCCGAAAACACATCTACACAGCTGGAAAGGAGGTTCTGGATGCAAGCGCTATAGGAGATCTCTACATATCAACTGCACATGGAGAAACATTACTCCAGAATGTCTTGTATGTTCAGAATCTCAATGTGAATCTATTGTCAACCAACTCATTAACAGATGAGGGAGCACGAGTGACTTTAGACCATGCTGGTGGACAGATACACATGGCAAACAGAATCTCATTCAAAGTTTCAAAGAACAGAGAGCAAGGCTTGCTAGAGTTACGAAGTGAGGCATGGAAGGAAAATGCAATGACCACATCAACACAGCTGCTCAATGATGTTGATGAAGAGTTTGAACCAACCACAAAGAGGACCACCATCTCCATACAACAACTTTGGCATGAGTGCCTTGGACATCCAGGAAGAGATAAGGCTAAGTCTATTATAAAGAAGATGGGAAGTACCACCCAAATGGATATAGACCCAGACACAGCTCTGACATGCAAGCAGTGTATACAGTCCAAAAGTATGGCTGCAAGAATGAAATGAGGCAGTGGCAAGAGAGCCGCTGCACCCCTCGACCTTGTGCATATAGATCTGATCATCGATGCATCACATGTGACCGAACACACCTGCATATTGGTGCTCATCGACGATCATAGCAAATATGTTTATGCACAACCATTATTGTGAAAGAGCCAAGCTTTCACAGAGCTCAGAAGAATCATCTCGTTCCTTGAGACACAGACCAACAGGAGCCTAAAAGCAATCTGATCGGACCAAGGAACAGAGTGGAGGAGCAACGAAGCTCTTGAATGGTCACAGGACAAAGGAATAGAGTGGCAAACAACAGTGGGATACAATAGCAAACAGAATGGCAGGGTGGAGCAAATGAACAGAAGCTTGAGTGAGAAGATGTGCACTTTACTGGTACAACATGGACTACCAAAGATCTTTTGGCCATATGCAATCAGGGCAGCAGCATTCAAGATAAACCTTACTCCAAATGCCAACAATGAGCTCCCATACGAGATGATGTTCAACAAATCACCCGAACGACTCATGCAGCTTCTCTGTGTCTTTGGATGTCTCGCTTGGGTAAACATCCCAAAGGCAAAGCGAAACAACAAGAACTTGGACCAACGAGCAGTGGCAGCTATATTCATAGGAAACAGCCTGGAATGGAAAGGTTGGCTATTTTATAGTCCGGACTATCAACCAAGTTTATTCTGGAGTAACTTGGTGAAGTTCATGGAATCCAAATGCTGGTTGGACTGGACCAAGTGGAAACCGATAAAAGTTCAATTGCCACAAACAATGATGAATGAAGAAGATGCTGAAAACTTGGGTTATTCGGAAGTAAACCTATTTGATGAAATGGACCAGGAACCACAAAATGAGTACATGGACATGGAAACAACTATGAACACAAACGAAGGCCAAGACCTTGAAGGGTGGACAAATGGTGAGTCCTTTGGACTCACAGCCATGGACAGCAAAGGCGAAGGAAACCTAAACCCAACCATCCAAGAGGCAATGGCAGGGCCAGACAAAAGGCTGTGGGAGGAGGCAATGCGAAAAGAGCTTGAGGGTTTAGAAGCTATGGGCACGTGGGAAGTGACGGATCTCCCAATTGGCATGAACACTGTCGACACCAAATGGGTACTCAAAGTGAAAATGGATGCAAACTTGGTGCCCACAAAGTTTAAAGCAAGACTCATTGCAAGGGGATTCACTCAGAGAAAAGGTATCAACTATACCGAAATCTTCATGCCAGTGGCACCAATTCAATCAATCAGAGGAGTGTTGGCTGTGGCGGCCATGCAAGATTGGGAGGTAGATTCAATCGACGTCAAACAAGCATACCTCAATTCAAACTTACAGCATGACATGTACCTGAAGCCACCAGTTGGAACAAAGATGCCACCAGGAAAGGTTCTCAAGCTAATAAAGGGATTATATGGTTTAAAACAGTCAGGGCGAGAGTGGAACACTGAGATGGACTCACACCTTCGGAGGATGGGTTTTCATTGTATGCCAAGCACACCTTGCTTGTATGCAAGAGGAACTGGAGACAACATCACAGTCATCACAGCATACATCAATGACATGATGATAGCTTCACCAAGTTGCAAAGAAGTAGATCGCACCAAGAAGGAGATCATGAATAAGTGGGGAACAGAAGATAATGGGAAGATCAAAGAGTTTATTGGAATCAAAATCACGAGAGACAGGACCCAGAAGAGCATATCTCTTGACCTAATGGCATATATTAAATCAATGGTAAGCAGATGGTTACAGAAGGAGACTGAGAAATCCTGGATCCCAATGCAAAGCATAACTGCAAGCACAGGAGGAGAGAGATGCTCATCATCATGAAGCAAAGAATACCAGGAGTTAGTAGGACAGCTATTATGGTATCCAACACAGTGCAACCAGATATCTCATTCACGGTAGGAGTTTTAGTGCGACACATGATGACTCTGGTCGAAGGAGCATGGCATGCAGTGATCCACACTCTAAAGTACCTAAATCAAACAAGTGAATATTGTCTCCAACTAGGAGGGAGAGAAAATGTGGAGAAGGAGACATTAATGACATATACCGATGTGAATTGGGCATCAGACCCCACAAATGGTTGGAGGAGTACATCGGGAGCAATCACATATCTATATGGGAGCCCGGTGAGTTGGTGATCTCACGTGCAAAAATGTGTGGCCCTGTCAGCTGTAGAAGCAGAGTTTATTGCCGCATCGGAAGCAGCATGAGAGGCACTGTTCTTTTCATACCTGCTGCGAGACCTGGGTATCGATAACATCAGACCAATGCTCCGCACCGACAGCCAAGGATGCATACAGGTGAGTAAAGACCCAGCCAAACACTGGAAGCTTAAACACATCGACACATGTTATTACTTCGTCAGGGAACATGTGCAGGAGGGAGACATTCTGATTGAACATGTCAGAACAGCAAACAACTTGGTGGACATTCTCACAAAGCCATTAAAAGGAGGAGAGACCACATGTCTAGCTCGAGCAATGGGTTTGGTCATGCCAGCAAAGGGGGGAGTTGAAGAGTCACTGGGATAACCAATATGCGAGAGAAGCGAGTAACCAACAGACTGATCCCCTGCATGCATACTAAGTTGAGTGGTGACCAATCAGGAGAAGCATATGAAAGGAAAATGCCGAGATACTACAAAGTGGGCATGACTTGAAGGAGAACAACAAGCCATCTCATTAACAGGATGAAGGTATATATACACAACCCTGTAGCAATAGTGCACAATAAAATACCAGGCATTACATCTACGACACACTAGTACGAAAGAGCTAGAACGTGGCTCGGACGAGGAGGTGCACGGTATAGCTTCAACTATCAGGAAAGTCTCACACCGTGCTGCGTTGTCAACCCTTTGACTGCACCTTGGCCACCTGACACATTTTCACGACTTGACGTTTTTTGAGAAGGATTAAACGCTGTTTAGAGAGCGGCAAGAAACACAGAGGCCCGAGCGCCTTCTTCCACACCAAGACTTGGCAATGCCTCGATCAAGCTTTACTCCGATCCATCGCCACAGTCATAGCAAAATCTTCTCCCCAGTCACGATCATCATCAAGAGGAGCTCTCATTCAATTGAGTCTACACATATGCAAGCATCACTGATGCGGCCACGCGGCCGCGCCAGCCTTCTATATCGCCCCTGGGCTCCTGCCGAATCGCTACGAGCTACACCAGCCCTTTTGCGAAACACCACAGCCCCGGTGCAGCTCATTTCATCTATACAGCTTAGCAATCCATCACATCGCATCAACTTGTACTCGTACTCTTCCAAGCGACACTACAGCCGTGATCCGCTTCAAGCCGAGCTCGAGGCAAACACAGTCCGGGGCAATCGCGTTGCACGAAGTCGCAAAGAAGAGCAGGCACGACAGCAAGAAGAGAGCAGACAGAAAGCTGAAGAAGGGTCTTACAAACGTAAGTTCAGTGGCGGTGGTCGACTTTCGATGGATCAGAGCCGGTAGGTCTCCTCGCTGACACAGTCATCATCATCTTGCTTTGACGACAATACGAATCAACAGAAAAGCTGTCAAGATCATGGTCCGGCACACAGATCAAGTGGTATCCAATTCCCCTTCTCCTAGGGGCTGTCGTCCTTGTTGGAGTGCAAGCACGTAGGAACTACGTTGCCGAGCGAGATGGCAAAGGTGTCGGTAACAGGATCGTCGATGAGAATGGCCAGGTCGTCAGGATGCAGGGCCCGTGGACCGTCTATGTCATTGGAGCTCTTCCTCTCAACGCCATTTCTCGAGCTTGGGGCTGGACCAATAACCTGACCCTTCCCGTCTGGTTCCGTCCATTCGGCTTCAAGCTCTACGCCTACATCTTTGGCTGCAATCTCGACGAGATGAAGGACCCTGATCTCACACATTACAGGAGTCTCGGCGAGTTCTTTTACCGTGAATTGAAGGAGGGTGCCCGCGAGATCGACGACAGCATCCTTGTCTCGCCTGCAGACGGCAAGGTTCTCCACTTTGGTGAAATTGCCGGCCGCCGTGTCGAGCAGGTCAAGGGTATCACCTATTCGCTTGATGCCCTTCTGGGCGTGACAAGCGCTCCAGAGGCCACCGAGAACGTCATCGGCAGTACCAAGGAAGAGGTAGAGCACGCTCGCATCGATGATCGCCAATTTGCTTCGGTCAATGGAATTGACTACACGCTGGATGAGCTTCTTGGTGATGAGAAGAGCAAGTCGGCTGTTCCTGATCCCGAGGAGGAGCCAAAGCGCATGTCGAGTTGGAAGAGGTTTGGCAAGGCATCCTACTGGAAGTCTTGGGTAACGCGGAAGCCATCCCAAGGCTCCAATACCACAGGAGTCCCACCCTCTGCTGCTAACGGCTCCACTGATTCGGACGAAGACGACACCGACATTATACCGTCCAGCACTTCTCAGGCCACAGACAGCAAACCGAAGAAGATCGACGATGCGGGTATGCCAGAGCCCGACACTCCCGAAGTACTTGGACGATACGCCAACGTTGCATACGAGATGGGTGTTGGCGCTCTTCCACCGCTCCTGCAACCGCATTCTCCCGGCGCCAAGGGTGTCAAGGAAGGAAACAAGCTCTTTTTCTGCGTCATCTACCTAGCTCCTGGTGACTACCACCGCTTCCACAGTCCCACCAACTGGGTAGCCGAGCGACGTCGACACTTCCGCGGAGAACTCTATTCTGTTTCACCCTACATGGCCAAGCGTCTGTCCAATTTGTTCGTGCTCAACGAGCGTGTAGCACTACTCGGTCGCTGGAGACACGGCTTCTTCGGCATGGTGCCCGTTGGCGCAACCAACGTCGGCTCGATCCGCATCAACTTTGACAAGGCGCTCCGAACCAACGTCCGTATGCAGCGCTACTTAGCCGGTACTTACTCTGAAGCCTCCTACTCTGGTGCGAGCAGGCTTCTCGGTGGACAACCTCTTGCTGCCGGCGACGAGATGGGCGGTTTCTTGCTCGGGTCCACTATTGTGCTCGTGTTTGAGGCGCCGAGCGACTTCCGCTTCGACATTAAGCCGGAGCAGAAGATCAAGGTTGGTCAGCGCTTGGGAGACATCCGACCGCCAACACCAGAAGAATCCGAAGCGAGTAAGAACGGACGTCAGGTTTAAGAGCTGAATGACGATCACTGCTTCTCGCAAAGCCGTCGCCTTCTCGCAGACATGCGCATGTACACAGACACCAATACACGAACTTTCTATACCCTCTTCGCGTTTGCCGTGCCTACCTCACAGTGTTCAACAAGATTGCGCCAAAGACAATCTCATTTATCTTCAAAAGAGACTCGCGTTACATCAGAGATTCAAATGCATGCTGGACAAGTTGCGCAAACCGTGATTGTGACATGTGACCGTGACTGTGGTAGCTGCATTGCAATGGAGACAAGATGTTGTACAGGGTATTGAGTTTGCGCATGGCTAGACACGAGCGCCGAGGTCCTGCAGTAGATCGTCCATCGTTTGTCGAAGTTGCTTCTGCATGTCTGGTGTGGCTTCGAGCCCTCTGATGGCCTGTTTGAGATGCAAATGCGTTGGAGTCAAAGTTGAGTTCAGCTACTGCAGTCAATGAGTGGAAGCTGTTGTAAATTACTTACTGATTCAAGAGCATCAAGCGAATCTTGAGCATCGCTTCGTATTGCCAGTGATCTTGCTCTTGTGTCGAGCATTTCTGTATGTATCGCGCGATTCTGTTTACGAACCAACTCGAGCTCAGCTTTGAGCTCCTGAACTCTCCTTTCCTGATTTGGAATCGCACGCGCCGAGATAGCCGTCTCCAAATCGAGATCTTTCCTCCAGACATCCTTGAGCTCCTCTGAACCGTACTCGTGTCCAGCTTGGTATCGCGCGTCTGCCTCCTGAGTCAGTCGATGCAAAGACGCTAGCTTGGCTTCGAGCTCATTGGACTCGATGAGCTTTTCAGACTCGTCAACAATCGCGTCTTTGAGCTGGCTGACGAACTGCTGACGTAGCGCCTCGACAGATTCCTCGTCGATGTGGGGGAATGCTTTGGCGAAGCTAGATCGAGTAGCGCGGTGTTCAATAAGATCGAGGAAGCGAAAGAGCGCCTGACGCAGTCGGTCAAGTCGCACGTTAGCATCTGCTTCCGTTGCAGCGGTCCTTTCGGATAAGGATGCACCACCAGCGACAGATTTGCGAGCTCGTTTCCTGGCCTGTTCGCTTTTGGCATCGCCGGCTGATACACCCGGCCCGGATGCTCGACTCTTTCTTGCACTGCGTGATGATTTGCTTCCCAACGCTACCGCCTCTTCAATTGCTGTTGCTTCTTCAACCGCTGCAGCCTCCTCCTCTTCTATTGTGTCTGTATACTGTTCTGCGGCGGTAGGTCCAGTTAGTTGGTCAGGTGCTGCTGCGTCACCAACAGCGGTCTGTGATGATGTCGATGGTTCGACATCTCGGGTTTCCTTCTGAGTGAGAAACGATGTCTCTCTGTCTTCATCCTCTCTCTCCTGATCAATTACGAGCTGCTCGTCGCTCCTGTGTGCGTCGGAATCAAAGTGCTCCTCTGAAGACATCTTGGTTGTACGTTGCTGTTCGTGGATAGCCAGGCTTATTTGTTTGTACGTAAGGCTGTGATGCTTGGACTTCTGCTGGTGCGCAGGGCCTCTGCAGGGTGCCAGTTTGGCTCTATGCACGTGAATACGATCAATCGTGTGTGTTGGGAATGGCTGAAGATCGGAACGTGTGGTGAGGTGGACGACCAGGGAGACGGTGGAGGCAAGAGAAAAGTCCAGAATGTCACACAGAGTTCTGCAGCTGCATGTTGTTCAGTTAAATTTAGATACACCGATACAGAGGCCACTAGCAGGCACTCGCTCAATCAAATAGTCTCAGATAAAAAGGCTTGTATTACTTATTGTATGATAGCAACATGACTTGGAGTATATATACATGCTCTGGGCACTTGTCTGTGCTTACCTTGTCAAGTCATTCCCATATGCCACATATCTACTTTCATGAGTGTTGTCATGTCAACATATTAGTCCCCACTAGCTTTGCATTCTGCTTGTCTTTCCTCATTGTTCTGTCTCTTCCCAATTTCCCAATCCTGTGTACTCCTGTTTGATACATCACGTGTTGGCGATGCTGATGCATCTTCAACTCCCCCCCTCAACAGCATATCCAATCCCATCATTTTTGATATCCTTGTCATGTTGAGTCCCTTGAGAGGCTTTGTGAGTATGTCAGCCATGTTGTTGACTGTCCCAACAAACTCAATCAATATGTCACCATCTTGTACATGTTCCCTGATGAAGTAATATCTAGTGTCGATATGCTTGAGTTTCCAGTGCTTTGCTGGGTCCTTGCTGACCTGTATACATCCTTGACTGTCAGTGTACAAGACTGGTCTGACTTCCATGGTCCCTAAATCCCTGAGTAAGTATGAGAAGAAAAGAGCTTCTCTCACTGCCTCTGATGCAGTGACCAGTTCTGCCTCCACTGCCGACAATGCTACGCACTTCTGTACATGTGACTTCCAGCTGACTGGACATCCATATATGTATGTGACTGCCCCAGATGTGCTCCTTTGCCCATTGGTAGGGTCTGAAGCCCAATTCGCATCAGTATACATGACCACTGGCTGTCTCACATGCTTCTTATGCTTTCCTCCAAGCTCCAGGCAATATTCACTCATTTGGTTCAGATACTTTAGCAGGTGTATTGCTGCTTGCCATGTGCTATCAATTGGTTCTGACATGTGTCATGCTAGAACTCCAACTGTAAATGAAATGTCCAGCTGTACTGTGTTAGACACCCATAGCAATTGACCCACCAATTCCTGATATTGTTTAGCTCTCTCTGGAGTACATTTGTTTCCTCTGACAGTGTTTGCGATGCTTTGCATTGGTATCCATGATTTTTCATTTGGCTTCTCCAACCACTTGCTTACCATGCCTTTAATATATGCCATCAGATCGAGTGAAATTTTGCTTTGGCTCCTATCTCGCATGATCTTGATACCTAAGAATTCCTTCACCGGTCCATTATCCTCTGTCTCCCACTTGCCCATGATCTCTGCTTTGGTATGGTCAACTTCCTTCCAGCTGGGTGATGCAATGAGCATATCGTCCACATATGCTGTTATCACCATGAGTCAATCATCTGTCCCCCTTGAGTACAGGCATGGAGTGCTTGACATGCAGTGAAAACTGATCTTTTGCAAATGCATGTCTAACTCTATGTTCCACTCACAGCCTGATTGTTTCAGGCTGTAGAGCCCTTTCACAAGCTTTAGTACCTTCCCCAGCTGCACTTTCATTCCAATGGGTGGCTTGAGGTAGACGTTGTGGTGTAGGCTTGAGTTTAAGTAAGCCTGCTTTACATTGATCATGTCAACCTCCCAGCCCCATATGGCAGCAATCACTAGCACTCCTCTGATCGATTGGATGGGTGCCATGGGTGCAAAGATTTCTGTATAATCTATGCCCTCCCTTTGCATGAACCCTCATGCTACTAACCTCACCTTGTACTTTGTGGGAACCAGATTTGCATCCATCTTAATTTTCAACACCCAACACATGTCAACTGTGTTCATATCACATGGTAAGTTGGTGGTCTCCCATGTATTCATTGCTTCTAGCCCTTTTAGCTCTTTGCACATTGCTTCCTCCCAGAACCTCTTGTCCTCTCCAGCCAGTGCTTCCCAAATGGTTGGATTGAGGTTCCTTTCCTTCTTCTTAAGCCCTGTTGTCACTAGCCCAAAGGAAGTTTGTGCTTTGTACCTTGGCTCCTTGTGTTCCCCTTCTCTCAAGGTTGTCTCCATGCTCATGTATTCATTCAAGGGGTCTTGATCACCCTCATTGAAGAGGTCCTCCTCCATGTACCCCAGATTAGCTAGGTCCTCCTCATTGTTCAGAACTGGAGGCGATTGAATGTTCACTGGCTTCCATTCTGTTCAGTCTGACCAGCATTGAGTTTCCATGAACTTCACTGAGTTGCTCCAGAAGATGTTCGGGCTGTATTCAGGACTGTAGAACAGCCATCCCTTTCTCTCCAAGCTGTATCCTATGAATATAGCCAGGACTGCTCTCTGATCCAATTTCTTGTTGTGTCTCTTGGCTTTTGGGACATTCACCCAAGCCAAACATCCAAACACATGCATGAGGCATATGAAACATTCTGGTGACTTTCTGAACATCAGCTGATAGGGGAACTCTCCATCGATGTTAGGGGTCAGGTTCATCTTGAATGCTGCTGCCCAGATTGCATACAGCCAAAAACTCTTTGGTAGATTTCTCTGTATCAATAATGTCCACATCTTCTTGCCTAAGCTCCTGTTCATTTGTTCCACTTGTCCATTTTGCCTGCTATTGTACCCCACAGTGGTCTGCCATTCTATCCCTTTCCCAAGCATCCATTCCAGTGCTTTGTTGTTCCTCCATTCGGTCCCATGATCAGATTGAATTGCTTTCAATGTTCTATTCATCTGCATTTCTAGGAATAAGACGATTCTCTTGAGCTGCACAAATGTGTGACTCTTCCATAATAGTGGCTGTATGTGCATGTACTTGCTATAGTCGTCAACCAGCACTAATATGCATGTGTACTCTGTCACATAGGATGAATCAATGATTAGGTCGATATGGATGAGGTCCAGGGGCCCTGCAGCTCTCTCGCTGCTACCTTGCCCCATCCTGGTGACCATACTCTTGGATTGTATACACAGCTCACATGTCAGAGCTGTGTTTGGGTCCAATGCTTCTACAGGTTCACCTCTCAATTTGTTAACAATTGCCCTGGACTTATCTCGACCTGGGTGTCCCAGTTGCTCATGCCAGAGCTGTTTTGTGGAAACTTTTGGTCTCCATTCGGCTAGCTCGAATTCTTCGTCAACCCCTTCAAACAGTGGTGTTGATGCAGCCATCACACTTTGTTGCCATGTATTGCCTCATATCTCTAGCAATCCACTCTTGTGGTTCTTTACTATTTTTAGCAGCATGCCATCTGCCAAATGTATTTGTCCCCCTTTAGGGTCTAAGGTCACACGTGCTCCTTTGTCTGTCAATGAGTTGGTTGACAATAGATTAATGTTGAGGCTGTGAACATAAAGAACATTTTGAAGTAGTATCTCCCCATACTCTGTTGATATGCTAACATCCCCTACAGCAGTTGCTTCTAAGACTTCACTTCCAGCAGTATGTATGTGCTTTCTGCACTTTCTTGGATGGATCAACATGCTGTAGTCATTAATCATGTGGAAGGTTGCTCCCGAATCCAGAACCCAATGGGTTGATTGGTCTGGTTTTGGGGGCCTTCGCCAACTCAGGGCGAGTGGGCACCAGACTTCCTATTTAGTCTGGGTGAGAGGGGAGTTCTTGGGGATGGTGATGGTGGCATCGCACTTTCTGGTGCCATGTCCATAGCATTTGCACACCCAGCAGTGAATCCTCCTTGGTCTAGTCTTAGCCTTTGAGCTTTCAGTGTCATCATCAGTGTCGCTATCCTGCTCATTGCTACCAGCTGCTCAGGCACTTGCCTGTTGTGGATCCACCTTTTGGGCGGGAATGCTTTCGATTGCAGATTGGCACATCATCAATGCTGTGGTGAGGACATCGAAACTAACTTGATGGATGGTGGCGACCATTTTCTTGTAGACTGGATGCCAGATAGTGCACCTTTGGAGTGCTGCATATATGGCATCATCACTGAAAGGTGCTCCCAGGAGGCTTGTCTCTGTCTGCATGACTCTAATCTCTTGGATTAGCTTCCATGCATCAGCATTGAACATCTTGACTTCATTGAGTTGGGTGAGGAGTGTGATTCATCATGAGGTCCTAGTAGCTTCACTGGTCAAGGCCTTTTCGATCTTCTTCCAGGTCTGGTGGAAAGTCAAATATGCCTTACTAATGTCGAGCAATAAGTAGAGAGTGTTGTACTCTCCTTCGGTGTCTAGGGTGCTATGTAGCACACCCACTAGGGCATCATCAAAGGTTCTGTTCCACTTTGGATGATCACTATCGTATGTGCCTTCCAAGTGCTGTGTGGCATGAGGGACAACCCTGAGGGTGGCCTTGATGAGGGTGCTCCAGCTATAGTAGTTTCGTGTCATGAGTTTAGGGACTGCCTCCACAATCTTGGCTAAGGTACAGTAGTCATACCACTTGTTGTCATTGTTGGAGTCTGACTCCTCTTCAGCTTCATTAAACTCATTTTCATTGCCATCAGTGGCCTTGTCATCAATTCATACTTGTTGAGCCACCTTTCCCTTTCTTCCTCCTTTTGTCTTCTTAGTTGCCTCACCAGCTTGGTGATCTCCTTCTCCTGCCATGATGAATGTTGTGGGTTCGAGCCCCACATTGGGAGCCAGTTAAATTTAGATACACCGATACAGAGGCCACTAGCAGGCACTCACTCAATCAGATAGTCTCAGATAAAAAGGCTTGTATTACTTATTGTATGATAGCAACATGACTTGGAGTATATATACATGCTCTGGGCACTCATCTGTGCTTACCTTGTCAAGTCATTCCCATATGCCACATATCTACTTTCATGAGTGTTGTCATGTCAATGTATTAGTCCCCACTAGCTTCGCGTTCTGCTTGTCTTTCCTCATTGTTCTGTCTCTTCCTGATTTCCCAATCCTGTGTACTCCTGTTCGATACATCACGCATTGGCAATGCCGATGCATCTTCAACTTGTTCTCAACACGTCACGTGCTTGCTCCCAAATTCCAGAGGTGTCGAAACAAATAGGCCTAACAATCGTAATTTTTGCATTCAGTCTTTGAGGCTAGGCTCTGTCATGGGCCTGGATGCTCAAGAAGCAGGAGGGTCACTGGTTCATATGGAAGGAGCACAGGTATCGAAGATCTAGTCGATACCAGTAGAGAGCATGGTTGTAGTGCAGTCTCCATGGAGACCATGGACTCCTACGGAATCACATGCAAAGGAGGACCAAGCCATATGCGAGGAGGGCCAGGCACAGCCATGAGGAGGACCAAGCTCAAGGAGCAGGCACAGCCACGAAGAGGACCAAGCTCAAGGAGCATGCAGATGGTTACCACTCAGGGGCTCGAGAGACAAGAGTCGAAGGAGTCGACGCCAGGTCATGAGGAGGAGGAGCAGTGTCGAAGGAGTCGACACCACTCAGGAGGCACAAGGGTGCCAAACAAGCAGCAGGATAGCAAGGAGGAGGAGCAGTGTCGAAGGAGTCGACACAGCTCCAGAGGCACAGGAGTGTCGACACAGCTCCAGAGGCACAGGGGTGCCGAGCAAGCAGGAGAGGCCCTTGAACAGTACTCGATGAAGAAGGTACTCTCTGGAGAGAGAGCAGGAGCAGCATCGCTGGCAATGCTGTGAAGAGGTATATAACCATGCTTTCTCATCATCAGAGGTCGAGTGGATCCTCATCCACTCTACTCACCATACAACTAGTCAATACTTTAGAAACATAAGTACTCATTAGTTTCAGTCAGCATAGCAGCAATCTATCAAGGTTGCTCCTCATTGTAGTGTGTGTGTTGTATCACCACTACCTGACATCCGAAGGCACCCCATAGCAGGTTAGCAGTCTGGATATAGATAGAACCAAAGGCAGTAGTCCACTGTGGTCCAAGGATCACCTCAAGCATCAGTCAACACACTGGACACTCGTGTTGATGCCACCAACCTTATCACCAATGCCACCAACCTTATCACCAACACCATCAACCTCATCATCATCAACACTCACACCAGACCTTGGTGTCATCATAACCTATGCATTGATATTGATCATGCCGAGCTACCCCTGAACGGAGTGTCCACAGAGGTCAGCCAAAACCTATGATAGTATATACATGAATGCCACCCACTGTCACTGCGCAACTTGATAGTTGCCGAACAACTAGCTTGTCGAGACAGATACTGAGACAATAGCTGTTGCACAGTTTGATAGTCACCGAGTATCTCGACAGACCGACCTGGGTTTCAGGCGCGAGACCCCTGACAGGCTCCAATTGAAGATAACAATTAATACACAGCGTTATCAGGGTCATGATCAGACTCCCTTTACAACAGCCATATGTTCTATGTAATGCTTAGTTTTCGTAGTGTGAACCTAAATGACAAACACATATATATACTCCATTCGCTGCTCTAGTCCTATCCAAGACAGGACATGTCACTTCATTCATACTCCTGTGTTGCTATGATACTGAGTGCCACTGAGCTGTCACCATGACAACAATCATGTACCTCATTGTGCTTCTCGCTTAAGTAAGCCTCCTGTGCCTCAGTGTCTTGGCCGTGACATGTGCATCTTGCTTGAGTTGCCAATGCATCTTCAACTCCCCCCTTTGGCAGGATCTCCAGCCCTATCATCCTAGCCAATTGTGAGGTGTTGAGACCCTGTAAAGGTTTTGTCAAGACATCTGCAACATTGTTTGCTGTTCTGACATGTTTGATTGCCACATCACCCTCTTGCATGTGATCGTGGATGAAATGATACCATGTGTTGATGTGCTTTAACTTCCAATGTTTGGCTGGATCTTTACTCACCTGCATGCACCCCTGGCTATCAGTGTATAGTATGGGCTGAATGTCCGTGATCTCCAAGTCCCAGAGCAAATATGAGAAGAACAATGCTTCTTGCACCACTTCGGAAGTGGTGATGAACTCTGCTTCGACTGCTGACAATGCTACACATTTTTGAACATGAGACTTCCAACTCACTGGACATCCATACACATATGTTATCGACCCTGAGGTGCTCCTTCATCCATTTGTGGGGTTGGATGCCCAGTTTGCATTGGTATATGTTGTTACCTGTGTATCCAAGTGCTCATTTGCCTCCCCTCCTAAGTGTAACTGATATCCATTTGTCTGGTTCAGGTACTTTACCATGTGAATGGCTGCCTTCCATGCACTGTCGATTGGGATCAACATGTATTGCGATAATATGTCAATGGCAAAGGCAATATCTGGTTGGGCTGTGTTGGAGACCCATAATAGTTGGCTGACCAACTCCTGATACTTCTTTGCTTGCTGAGGATCACATCTCTCGCCTCCAGCAACATTCACTATGCTCAGCATGGGTACCCAAGATTTCTCATTTGCTCCTCCTAACCATTTGTTCACCATTTCTTTGATGTATGCTGTTAGACCCAGAGATATCTTCCTCCATCTTCTATCACATGTGATCTTGATACCCAGAAATTCTTTGATCCTTCCATTGTCTTGTGTCTCCCATTTGTCCATGATCTCTCACTTAGTGTGGTCTACTTCATCATGACTGGGTGATGTTATCAGCATGTCATCCACATATGCTGTAATGATTGTGATCTTGTCACCTGTCCCTCTTGAGTATAGGCATGGTGTGCTCGGCATGCAATGAAATCCGATCATCTGGAGATGTGAGTCTAACTCAATGTTCCATTCTCAGCCCAATTGCTTCAGACTGTACAGTCCTTTCACTACCTTCAACGCTTTTCCAGGTGGTACTTTGATTCCTACTGGGGGCTTTAGATATACATCATGGTGTATAGTAGAGTTCAGATATGCTTGTTTTATGTCAATAGAGTCTATTTCCCAGTCTCGTATTGCTGCAACAGTGATCACCCCTCAAATGGATTGGATGGGCACTACTGGTGCAAAGACCTCTGTGTAGTCGATGCCCTCACATTGGGTGAAACCTCGTGCCACGAGCCGGGCTTTGAACTTTGTCAGCATGAGGTTCGCATCAGTTTTGATCTTGAGTACCCAATGCATGTCAATGGTGTTTGCACCCTTTGGGAGGTCAATGATCTCCCATGTGCCCATCGCTTCTAATCCATCCAGTTCCTTTTGCATGGCCTCCTCCCAGTGCTTTCTGTCTTCTCCATTCAATGCTTTATGTATGGTTGGGTCCAGGTTCTTTCTCCATTCTGGTCATGTCACTATGAGTCCAAAGGATTTACTGTCAATCTGAGCTTTGGCAATTGATCCTTGTTCCATCACCTCCACTGTTCCTCTGCTTAACCTTTCTTCCGAATCTGTCTCCATATCCATGTATTCTTGTAGTGGCCCTTCATCTGTTTCGTCGAATATATTTTCTTTGTTATATCCTAGATCTTCAAAATTCTCTTCTGTCATCATTGCTGGAGGTGCCTTTGTGTTGACCAGTTGCCACTCCATTCTGTCTGACCAGCACTTTGATTCCATGAATTTTGCTGAATTGCTCCAGAACATGTTTGGATTATAGTCCAGACTGTAGAATAGCCAGCCCTTTCTCTCTAGACTGTATCCCAAGAAAATGGATGCAATGGCTCGCTGGTCCAGTTTCTTGTTGTCCTGTTTGACTTTGGGTATGTTTACCCATGCCAGACAACCAAACACTCATAGAAGTCTTAAAGCTCACTCTGGCAACTTGCTGAACATGGCTTGGTAAGGGAACTCATTATCAATGCTTGGAGTGAGGTTTATTTTGAATGCTGCAGCTCTGATCATGTATGGCCAGAACTTCTTTGGTAGTCTCCTCTGCATTAGCAACATCCTCATCTTCTCTCCAAGGGTCCTGTTCATTCTCTCTACCCATCCATTTTGTTTACTGTTGTACCCTATGGTGGTTTGCCACTCTATGCCCTTTTCTAGCAACCATTCTAATGCATCATTGCTTCTCCATTCAGTTCCTTGATCAGATCGGATTGCTTTTAGCTTCTGATCTGTCTGTGTTTCCAGGAACGAAACAATCCTTTTGAGTTGTGTAAACACATGACTCTTTTGTGTCAATGGCTGTGCATACACATACTTGCTATGATTGTCGACCAGCACTAATGTGCATGTGTACTCCATCATGTGGGACAAATCTATTATTAGATCAACATGAATAAGATCCAGGGGCCCTATGGCTCTTTCGCTGCTACCTTGCCCCATCCGAGCACTTGTGCTCTTGGATTGTATGCACTGCTCACATGTCAGAGCAGTGTTTGGATCCAATTCCATGGTATGCTTATCTTTTAACTTGCTCGTGATTGCCTTAGCTTTATCCCTCCCTGGGTGTCCGAGATGCTCATGCCATAGTTGTTGCTTCGAAACTTTCAGCTCATTCTCAATATGCTCGAACTCCTCATCAATGCCTTCAAACAATGGTGTTGATGTGGCCATTGCACTTTCTTGCCATGTGTCACCTCGGAACTCCAAAAGTCCTTGCTCACAATTCTTTGCAATCTTAAGTGTCATGCTGTTTGTTAGAAAAATTTGACTGCCAGTTGTGTCCAATATCACTTGTGCTCCTTCATCCATTAATGAATTTGTTGACAGAAGGTTAACATTAAGGTGCTTCACATATAATACATTTTGTAGGGAGATTTCCCCATAATCTGTTGATATGCTTGCATCTCCTATAGCTGCTGCTTCCAAGACCTTGCTTCTGGTGGTAATTATCCACTTTTGGCAAGTTCTCAGATGGATGAGCATGCTATAGTCATTCACCATATGATAACTCACCCCTGAGTCCAAGATCCAATGAGCTGTTTCTTTTGTGTTTGGGGGGTCTTGCCATTTCAATGGGAGGGTGAGGGAGCACCATGCTTCCTATTTAGGTTTAGCAAGGGGGGAGTCTTTGGGGATGGTGACTGAGGCATCACATTGACTAATACCATGTCTGGGTTGCTTGCAGATCCAGCATTGGATTTGGCATGGTCTGCCTGCATTCCTCAAGCTCACATGGCTGTTGTCAGCTTCGGCTTCAGTCTCTCTGGCCCATTCATTTTGATCATTGTTGCCAGCAGTTCTAGTGCTGGCTTGTTGGGGGTCAATCTTTTGTGCAGGGATGCTCTCAACAGCAGTCTGCCAGATGCTTAGTGCAGTGGTGAGGGTGTTGAAATCGATTTGATGGACAGTGGCAACTGTCTCCTTATACACTGGATGCCAGATCATGCATTTCTGCAGAGCTGAGAACAATGTATCATTGGCAAATGGTTTGCCAAGGAGGCTACTTTCAGTCTGTATGGACCAGATCTCTTGAATTAGCTTTCTGGCATCTGAGTGAAACATCTTTATATCATTGAGCTGTGAGATGAGCACAAGTCTGTGAGATGTCTTGGTGGCTTCATTCATGAGACTGTTTTCAATCTTTCTCCATACTTGATTGAAAGTAAGGTACTCCTTGATTACATCTAGAATGAGGTAATTTACATTGTGTTCTCCGGTAGTGTCGATTGTTCCATGCAGGGCATTGATTAAAGCATCATTGAGGGAGCAGCTCCATTTTGGGTGCTTCTTGTCATATGTTCCCTTGAGGTGTTTCATCACATGGGGCATGGATTGGAGGAAAGATTTCACATGAGCACTCCAGCTATAATAGCTGTGTGATGTGAGCTTTGGCACAGGTTTGAGGAGTTTTGCTAGGGTGTGAAAGTTATATCACTTGTCACCATCATTGAAGTCAGAGTTGGAATCAGTGTCTTTGTCAGCTTCATTGTTGATGGCCTCTGGCTCGTTCTCATTTGTGGCATTGTTGTTGACCCAAACCTGGGTGTTCTTGCCTTTTCTGCTTCCTTTGATCCTCATTTTGGTGTCTTCTACCATTGTTGTCAATGAGTTTCAGTTGGCTCAGTGATAGCTTCTTCAGACTCTTAATCAATTGAAGATAACAATTAATACACAGTGTTATCAGGGTCACAATCAGACTCCCTTTACAACAGCCATATGTTCTATGTAATGCTTAGTTTTTGTAGTGTGAACCTAAATGACAAACACATATATATACTCCATTCACTGCTCTAGTCCTATCCGAGACAGGATGTGTCACTTCATTCATACTCCTGTGTTGCTATGATACTGAGTGCCACTGAGCTGTCGCCATGACAACAGTCATGTACCTCATTGTGCTTCTCACTTAAGTAAGCCTCCTGTGCCTCGGTGTCTCGGCCGTGACACGTGCATCTTGCTTGAGTTGCCGACGCATCTTCAACTGCTCCACTCAGTCGCTGCTCAGGGCTCATGGACGCAGCGAGTCGGCGAGGGGACCATCTTGCATCCTCTCGCCTCGTCAGACTCGAAAAGCAGAAGGAAGGCAAAGTGGGCCGCTCCTAAAGCGAAAGAGATTTGTTTAACAGAGTGGTGTCTATCTGCAGGTGTCCGAAATGGGTCACGGCTTTGAACGCATGAATGGCCGCCAGATCAGCGAGGATGCAGCTTTTACCAAGACCTGGCGTGGACAGGACACTCCCTTCCTCTCTTGAACCACGAGTCGATGCAACCTCGATGGAAGTAGCAGAGACAAGGTAGTCGTGCGATGGTGCTGTTAGCGATGAACTCCTCCATGCAGATTGAGCATTCCTTTCCTACGATCGGCGAGTTGTCTGGCAGCTTGTAGACTAGGTATCTTCCGCCTTGCATGCTTCCTCCACCACCATTCTCGAGGCAGTTGCGCACATGAGCCTCTTGCTCTTCGCTTCCACCCAACGCAGAGAGGGAGGTGGAGCAAACCGGACACTCTGTGAGCTCGCTGGCCCGGCTCGAGACATCGCTCGGGGGCGCCAGCGTCGAACGATAACCGCTCTCGTCCAGATGCGTTTCCACACCACTCCGACTGGAGGCCTCTCCTCCGGCGCGAACACGCGAGGCCGCCACAGCAGCCTCGTTCGCTCTCATGTTCTGCAGTTGAGGTGGCAGTTGAAGCTCAGCGTGGCATCCATTGCAAACTCGCGTTGGTGCGATGATTTCTGAGGCTGCCATACCTGGGAGACTGGGATCGACCACAATGTCATTGGCTCGTAGCTGCGCTCGCTTCGACGAGCACGAGTCGCAAAAGATGCGACCACATCGTCGACAGTGGTGCTTACGGAGGAAGAAAGTAAAGTGTCGACCGCAGCCTCGGCAGTCCCTCGCTTCCTCATCGCGCTCCCACTGCGGCTGCAGGTTCTGCTCGCGCATCGCTGGACCTCGACGCAATGTGACCTTGTTTGGCGCTTCATTGGTTGGCACGCGGAACTCACGATTGGCAGCAAGATCGGCACTGCGTGCCGCGGCAAGTGAGGTTCCTGCTTCGGAAGGGGCAACACTGCTCCGCAGCATCGAGGCGGCACTGCTCTGTCGCTGCGAGAGCGGAGGTCGCGAGAGGGTGCCTGAGGTCTCTGCATTGACGAGACGGGTGAAGACAGACGCGCCATCGTCCTTATATGAGTTGGGGTAGATGAACTCGTCATCGTCGTCATCCGCAGCATCTTCGTCTTCGTCCTCATCCAGTCCTGCAGCCTGTCGAAGCTGACCCAATTGCAGAGTGTACTCTTTGCGCAAGTCTTCGGCCCGGCTTCTGCGTTCTACGTCAGCGTCCTCGAAGGCAGCCCTGAGCTCGGTGAGCGCCATGACCAGACGGGCAATGCGCCTCGCAAGCTCATCGCGATCGTCACCGAGCGCGTCAGCTGGGGTCGCACCGGACGAAGCGCTTGATCCAGCGAGAGCCTTGGCCCGATTGACGTAGTCAGCATCTGATCCGAGCTGCGAGCATTCAAGCCTGGCTGCCTCCTGCGCAGCCATGATCGCAGCAGTTGAGAGGGCCCTTCCTTCCGTCTGATGTAAATCGTCATTTCGACCTGACTCAAAAGCGTCATCCTCTGCTGAGAGGGTACTGTCGCAAGCTTCCAGATCATCACCGAACTCGATATCGAGGCGGCGCCGCAAGACTCGTACCCATCGTCGTCGGCGAACCCATCCGCTTGACGAAGCTTCTTGGTCCGCTTGTGCGTTTGCCAGACCTGCCCCACCAGTTAGGGCTCGGGTGACGGAAGCGCTCAAGCCTCGTCCCTCGAGCAAACGTTCGAGAGGAGGTGGCGGCTGCGATGACCACTTGTCGTCGAGCGCATCAAATGACTGGGCGTATTGCCATCCCTGTTCGACGTCGACGAGTGGATGAGTGGTGTCAAGCTGCCACTCGCAGAGCCAGAAATGAGAGCTTTCCTCTTCGGCACCACTGGCCGCCGCCGTGCTTGTACCTCGTCCAGCGCCACGGCGAGCCTGAAGTACCGACTCTGGGGTGGGAGTGCTTGCCAGATCCTCGTCGAGGTTGTTTGAGGTGTTTGTAGCTCGATGAGCTGCCTGAGCTGCGGCTTTTCGTCGCGTGGCTGCTGGGCCTAGGCGGGAGCGGAGACGAAGCTTATAAGGCAGGGAACGAGCAGGCAGACCAACATCTTCTTGGCGCATAGGCGCGTGCCGGGTTCGACTTGGGGCCAGAGGTCCTGGAGGCATCGAGCTGGGTGAGCGTCTGTCGGGCTTGTGAGTGCGGGCTGCACTTGAGGAGCTCCATCGCGGCTTGCCACCATTCATGGCCAGGGTCTGTAACCGCGTGTCGAGACGCTGGTTTTCGTGCAGAATGATGGGGATGGTGGTGTGTAAGGCTAGAGGCTCGTATGGGCCGCGACCTGGAGCGATCTGGCCAGGCCGCGTGGGAGTTCCAGAGGAGAAGTTGCAGGCGCTCCATCGCTCAGCTTCGTAGCGTTCGAGGACTTGGCAGATGTAGACTTCGAAGGAGGCTGCTGCAACATCGTAGGCTGTCTCGCCAGCAGTGTTGCGTACGAAAGGATCGGCACGGTACTTGGCAGTGAGATGACGGACGATGGGTAGATGACCTTTTGAAGCTGCATTCATGAGCGGGGTCCAGGCGCCGCGGCCACCCTGAATATCAATCTGTGCACCGCCACGATCGATGAGGAGGCGAACGAGATCGAGATAGCCGCGGCTGCAGGCGTTGTGAAGGGCAGTCCAGCCGTCGGTATCTCTGGCATTGGCGTCAGCGCCGTGAGACAGAAGAAGGGAGGTAACGGAAAGCTTTCCAGCCATGGCAGCTTTGTGGAGAGGAGTCTCGCCTTCGCGATCCTCCATTTCGACGATGGCGCCTGCTTCGGTGATCAGCCAGCGAACGATGTCGGTTTTGCCCTCTTTAGCAGCAAAGTGGAGGGGAACGAGGCCATTGCTGGGGTTGGAATCGTTAGCAAGAGCAAACATGGACACCGCGTTGGTATCGGCTGAGCAAGTCGTTTGAACAAAAGTTTGAAGATCGGAAAGGCTGTCGCCGCTGCAAAGTTCTGCCAGAGTATCGTAATCAATCTGCTGCACTTGACTGTTGGAAGTAGTAGAGGAGGAGATTGGCCCTTGCACCGTTTTATCGGCGTCTGTTTGGGCTGGTGGTGGTGGCGGAAGTTGAGGCGACAGTGGCTCGCTCGAGGTGTCATTCGTCCCATCAGCAATCTGAGCAGGCAGGGCAAAGCTTTCTTCGCCTTCTGCGGTAGGTGCATTCGGCCTTTCTTGAGCGGTGTGCGTGTTGCCGGGATACACAAAGTCCTCATCGTCCTCCCCTTCGGCGTTACTTTCTGAATGATTCTCGCGCGCCGCGAAGTCTATTGTGCCTTTCGCTGCATCTGTCGACGATGAGCTTGCTGGGGGATTGCTTTGCGAGTGAGTCGCGCCGGTGCTAGAATCAGCATGGTCGTTGGCTTGTTCAATAGCTTGCACACTCGTCTCGTCGCGAGGCTGACGGCGATCGCCTTGACTCATTTGTGGATCCAGAGTAGCAGATCCTGGCTGCTTGGGCTGATCAGGCAAGCCTGAATGCTGTTGAAGCGGGGTTGAATCGGAGCTGTATGCGCTTGTAAGGGGATCTGGGAAGTCGTTGGTGCTAGCGACGTTATCGGAAGGCTCTTGCCATTGCCTGGAAGGCTCGAAGACAGAAGCACTGGCAGATAAGGTGGCTCGAAATGGCTTGTCAGGTTGAGAGGATGATCCCCAGGCGAATTCCAGATGCTCGGCTTCGTAAGGAGCAAATACGGGTTTGCGTGTATTGCCTGCGCTAGCGTTGGATTTTGTGCCAAAGGAGGAGTCTTGACGGGGCAGCCTGGCTGATAAGCCGGTGGAGGGAAAGCCTGAAGCGTCTTGTGAAGATGTGTTGGCATAGCCATTTCTTAGATGAGCAGGTGCATGCATGCTAGCTCTTGCACCTCCATTGGCATCATCGAGGCGCGAACGAGTCTGCTCCTCTTCGCCCGAGGATTCGCTAGCGTCCGCCCAGAGATCATGAGAGGAAGCGTTGGCGGCATCGTCGTGGCCGGAAGCCAATGGATCTGATGACGACATGTCAGGTGAACGCCGTCAGGACTAAGCAAGGGTGTTGATGGAGTTGGTTGATATGTTGTCTTGGCGAAATGGATTTGCTTTGTGAGACATAGGACACCAGCAGCAGCTAAGTGCAACTCAGGTGGTGCATGCGTGTGTGCATTTCAGATTGTGTGTTGGACTCGGGTGAAAGAGTCATGATTACATAAGTTGAGCCCATCAAAGAGGCCCTCCGCTGTATGGCAGCCCAAGCGTTCGGTTTACTAAGCGATATGCTGGGCCTGCAAAAACGCGCTTGGATTTGGCATTTTATTTTTATTTCTTATTTTCCAAACTCTCACACACGCAACGCAACGCACCGCGCAGTCGGCAGATGTGTTGCAGAAACGCGCCCACACGTCCGGCAGCCAGACCGAGCCACAGCACTAGACCAGTCACAGTTCGGCATCACCGAATGCACCCTCCTATCTCCTTCTCCTTTGCCTCTCTCTCTCTCTCTCTCTCTCTCTCTTTCTGCTCTGTTGCTTAGGTCTCTCTGCAGTCGGCCCCTCTGCGCAGAACCCCTCTTCTTTTGCAGCGAAGGATAACAGGCATTGCCTCAGAATAGGCTTGCTGATGCACTTGCTCTTCTAGTCGATAACAGCAACTCGGATGAGCCGATCTCCATGAGGAATCGTCATGAAACAAGGACAAATAAGATTCACACACACACACACACACACACAGCAAAAAGCGCCTTGTGAACCTGCTCATGTTTGACATTTGAGCCACGGTGGGCGTCTCTATCTGGACCGCCTTGCGGGCGCGCAGCTCCTTACTCGCTCTCTCTCATTTTGCTTCAGCTCTTCGCGTTGTCATTCTTTCGCCTTGCCGCCTTCCAGTCTTGCTTGGCGCTGTTCTGTAGCTGCTGCTCCCTCTCCTCGTTTCCGCCGCTTGCTCATCTCCTCCATCCCTCTCACCTCCCGATCCCTTCTCAGCTTTCCATCCTATCACTCCCACAAGTCTCTCCAGCGCTCCTTGAACACCTCTGGAATCAGCGCTTTCCTTCTCTCCAACTCTCTTTTCGACACACTCTTTGCATCCACCATCCGTCTTAGTTCTCTCAACGCCGGCCGTTCTCTCAATCTCGACATCCGCTTTCGCACACACTCTACTGGCTCTCTTGGAAATTCCACCTACCTCTCAATCAACGCGCTCCTTTCGTCTCGTCTTTCGCTGCCTCTTCATTCTTTCGAGTGCAACCCTGGTGGCGGTTTAGAGAGATCACTATCTGCTCGAGCTTCCACGACTCTGCTCACCTTCTCGCACACATCGTGCACTATCGTCGGCATTAAGCAAGGTTGTTGACCTTCAATTTCCTCCTTCAAGGATCACCAAGCCCTCCAATCCACTATGGCTCCACCCGCTTGGGCTGGTGAGTCACAGTCTAGCACAGCCTTTTCAATGAATCCTCGCGATTCGCGTGTCGTCAGCATCTACGACAAGTATCTTTACGATCCTAAGGATCTCGAATCATCCGACCCTCGCCGACGCGAACTTGCTCGCAAAGCCAGTCAACTCAAATTACATGGTCGTCCCGCCAATCACATGGACGCCAACGGTCTGCGTTCTGTTGGCTCTTCCCACTCACCTCCCGCCCAGCGCAAGAGCATCGCCTTCTCCCAGAATGTGAAAGCCTCTGATGGCCACACTGCTTCATCCCGCAACGCCGCCATCGCCGCTGCTCATAATCATCACCACAGTGCTCAACATCAGAACCAGAGATCGAGTCGCGCCAGTCTCGCCTCTCACCTGGACGACGGCACTCATGATCGCGACTCTGGCGCCTTTGGTCTAGGTCTTGGTATGCTGGGTGGAAGTGACTCCGAATCTGACTCCGACACAGACGATGAACGCTCTAGAAAGCCTAACAACCCGGCTCTCAACAGATCCAACGATCGCCGGGACAAAGATAGGCCCGAAAGCTGGACCGATCGCGCCAAGGCTGTTGGTCAGCGTCCGCCTGATAGTGCTTCTCAGAATCCACCATCACTTAAGCTTATGGCACTCAAGTCGGCCAAGCAAGGCGGAGACCAATCACGAGACGAGAGAAACAGCAGGCTCGCGGTCGATTCCAACTTCATCGATCGTAATTCGCGTCATGGCAGCACTATTGGTTTCAGTGGTCAGCCTGCCGATGGTCGAACCTCTTCCCAAACTGCCAACATCGGCGGCAACTCGAAGCGTCTGAGTGCTCGAACCGCTTTGACCAAGCAGCTTGGTCTTGCCAGCCCGAACCCGGAACCAACAGCATCACAGTTTCGCGCACCCTCGCCCAACCAGCCGAGGGATTACTTTGACAGTCGCGCTCCCCAAGCTACACAAGGTCCGTCAACATCATCATCATCGCGCAACGCTGGCCCTCCACCTATCGATGTCGGACGAGCTCAGCAACATGGCTCTGGCGGACAGCAGCCTTTGTCTGCTCCCGCTTCGACCCCCAACAGTGCTACGCCCCTCTGTTCTCCTGGCTACAGTCCCGGTGGCATGCCATCACCGGGCCACCCTCACGCACAGGGCTCAATGCCGCCGAATGTGCTCCAACGAGGACCACCTTCGCCCTATGGCCAACGAGGTCCTCCTGGTAATCCCGCCGGTTCTGGCAGGCCTCAGGGCCCTCTTGGTCCAGGCGGCTATCAAAGCAACACCAGCCCTACTCACCCTGGTCAGGGTCCCAACGCACCGCATCCCTCCTCACTACAAGCGGGTTTAGGCGGTCGCAACCCTCCCAACGGCTTTCAGCGAGGTCCCGGCCCGCAAGGCAGAGGTCCGCCTGGACCAAACGGCAACTTTGGTCCCTCCTTCTCCGACACACCACGTCCTTCGAAGCGTCAATCCATCTTCCGCAGATCATTGGCCATGTTTGGCGGAGGGCCCCAGGCGGGTCCCCCAGGCAACGGCCAACCTAACCACCCTCAACAACGCTCGCACCTACCACAGAAACGCCAATCACTCTTCCGACGTAGCATGGCTATGCTCACCGGAGGCGGCAGCACCGATTCCGGTGGCATGGGCCCCCAAGGCAATCAGCAAATGCGAATGCCTGTACCCGCACCCGCTCAGCCCCGCGCTTCCTCCGCACCACGCGTCCAAGGCCTCCAGGACGACTTTGAAAAGCCTGATCACCCACGCAAGTCTCAATTCCTCGGCGCTGGCGGAGAAGGAGCAGAATGGGACACTCACGGAGAAGGAGCTAAATTCTGGCGTCGATTCTCTATGGCACAGAAAACAGCTGGCACACATAAGCTCGAAGACGGCAGCAAGGCTTGGATGGCGAGTATGGCTAGGGGGAGGAGAAAGCTCATCGTCATAGCTGTCATCGCTCTCGTGTCTCTTGTTGGCGTCATAGTTGGCGTCATCGTGTGGAGAGAGATTGTTTCGCCTTCAGGATCTATTTCTGACGAGCCAACTTCGGTTTACAAAGCAAATCTCGGTGCCAAAGGCTCGGACTCGGCAAGCGCCGCCTCTGCAACAAGCACAAGCAGGGAAGCAAAAGCTACTTCCACTTCTACAGCACCTTCTGGCTATTACAGCAGATCGCTTCCTGCCGATCCTGTCGCTGAGGATGTTGTAAAGAGACACATCCGCAGGGCTGTTACGCACGAACTTGGAGCTAAAAAGATGCGAAAGCGTCACTTTGGAAGAGCTATCGCTGCTGCATCACCTCAACAACCAGCCTCGCTGGCTGATCTGGATTGAGATCACTTCTACATCGGCTGACAGGATCTCGACCTAACCCTTACCCCAACCCGATCTCAAGGGTATACACACTTACATTGACACTCGTTCAGATCATCTACATTTGCTTGCATCTTGTCTGTCTCTCCTGCTCTTTTCTCTTGGGTCGCTTCGTCTGTCCTTTAGAATCAGAATCTTTTTAATCCACCCATTCGTTGTCACTCATTCTCAGCGTCTGAGTTCGCGTTAGCTTTGGGCTGTCAGAAACAAAATCCCCACTGTCTGACTTCGTGTTCCCTCTTTGGCGTCTCTTGGATTGGAAAGGAGTGGTGTGGAATGATGCGTCTACTATCAAGCCTGTTGAGTGGATGCAGGAGAGGAGTTTGATCAGGAGTTGAGATTGCAAATGCCTTAAGATATGGTGTCCGCAGCAGCTCTCGCAATGCGGAGCTTCTTATCGACGAATGATTTGATCTCGTCGACGTTGCTGCTCAGGATGTTGATTGCGCGAGTGTGGTCTGTCAACACGCACGGAAACGAATCAGAATCAGTACCACGGTATACAGCTGCAACAGCGAGGAAGATGCGAGATACTTACTGATCGGTTGAATCTTGCCAAACCTCTTCAATGGCGCTGCCTCGCCTCGCTCGAGTAGATGACGGTGGTCAGCTGGCGCAAGCACCTTTGACTTGTTGTAGTAGAACTTTTTCCTTGCCAAATCCGCATGAAGCGAAAGACTAGGCATCTCGCCATACCCTACCACATTAACTACTGCCCTGACATGTTTTGTGTCTCTCTGCTCGAGAAGAGACGTCACGACATGACATCCAGAACCGAATCCAACCATGACAATATTCTTCACCCCCTTAGACGTCCCAGCAAGCGCAACCACATTGTCCCACACAAACGCTGCCGCTGAACGAGCTTCCGAGACCCTATGTATGTCAGCAGTAGAGCCTGCGACCGCCTTATTGAGACCAGGCAGCATCGGTTTGGTAGCGCTGAACTCTTTAAAGATGTTCATGTCTACCAAGCCATAATTTCGCGATTTGGCGTATCCGATGAGGAGGCTCGAAGCATCTGCGAGTTGCAGTGCTTCGAGTCCTAAGCTGTTGTTTAGTTCGGGTCTCTCGGAGCGGAGATTGCCCATGTCGTGGATGAAGAAGATGATAGTTTCGTAACGGTGAAGGATTCCCTCCGAGCACAACACCTGACCGTCGAAATCGACGTGTGGCGTATTGAAAAGAGGAACACCGAAGAGGTCGAACTTTTCGCAAACCACCTTGTTGCGGTACTCGGCGAGAAGTTCGGTCACCTTGACAGTTTGAGGAGCGCTAGCGGAAGTACGGTCCAGATCGTCGGTATCAATATCCGGCACCTTGAGAGACTTCCAATATTTGGAGTGGAAGCGACAGACCTGCTGCACCGTCTGCGCAGCGAGAGTGCAGGCAACCGTTTCCTGCGGTTCCTGGGTTTTCCTTGCGAGTAGAACCTCAGTGACGGCTAGAGAGCTTTCCGCTACCACTTCAGGGTTATAGCCACCTTCGAGTACTACAGCAACCTTGCCCTGGCACAGCGACGTAAGAGCGTGCGTCATCTGTGCGTAGCCACCTGGCGAAACACGATTCTGGCCGATCGGGTCGCCTTCGGCCGCATCGAAGCCGGCTGAAATGATGACGAAGTCCGGCGCAAATTCTTGCGCGATCGGCATGACGAGGTGATGAAAGGCGTACATATAGTCTGCATCACCCATCCCCTTCGAAGGCCAAGGCACATTGACCGACTTACCCTCGCCTGGGCCGGTACCGGAACTCGTGTAGTTGCCATAAGATGAACCGGGATAAAAGCTACCATCCTCGTCATAGCGATGAAGAGAGATGTAGAGGACTTCCGCGTCGCTCTCAAAAGCGCGCTGTGTGCCGTTGCCGTGATGAACATCCCAGTCGAGGATGAGCACTTTGCGGATAGTGTTCGGGTACTTCTGCAGCAAGCATCTGGTAGCTACGGCAACGTTGTTGTAGAAGCAGAAGCCCATACTTTTGTGGGGCTCTGCGTGGTGACCTGGTGGACGAATGACCGCGAAACCATTGCGGATACGACCGGAGGCGATAGCGTCGCAAAGCTCGACGGCTCCACCGCATGACAATCGAGCTGCGTAAGCAGAGTGCTCGTTGATGTAAAGCGAGCTTGTATTTTCGAGCATAGGCACGTGCTCCTTCAAGATGTCTGGGTGGTAGACTGATTGTGAGAAGTCATGCGAGACATGCATGTGGTCAGTTACAGGCTCAAGATAGGACCATGTCGGATCTCTGACAACTTACGAGCTGAATTTTCAACACCTTTCCAGATGCCTTTGTCGTGGACAAGCAAGACCTCCTTCTCTTTGATTTGGCGAATTTCGATTCGTTTCATGTGCTTTATGATGCCTTTCTCCTGTAGCTTTCTCAAAATCATCCAGATTCGAACAGGCTTCTCCGGGTGGTCGCGGTCGATTGGGTTGGAATGCAACATCATGTCCGAAGAATAGACAAGGCCGGAGCGGTATTGATCCAGGCTGGAAAAGTCCTTGCTGATCCCCCTTCCGTTGAGAGGAGCACCATTGGAATGGTGGTCGCTGCCATTCGATGAAGTCGAGACCGAAACAGCAGGAGTGAGATTAGTAAGCGAGCCAGATGGCGACAGCATGTGTGCGTGTGTAGAAGCTTGAGGAGCGGCTGCAACCATGTCGACGTCATCATCATCGTCCAACAGGACTATGGGATCGGCCCTGCTGGCAATCGGAGTTCTTCTCGATGGTTCCGCCATGGTCTAGAGCCAGAGACCGGATTAAGGGCCGCAGGAAGGTCGCGGTAAATGAGACGAGCTTCTGGCTATCCTTTGCAAGTGCCTACAGAGTTTGCCTGCGATAGGCAAGTAGGACGCGAAATCTGTCTCAGGCTGAAGCTGAAGAAGGCAAAGAAAGCTCTTCCGTATGGCAGTGTAGGGAGGCACTGCGAGAGATGGGCGCAAGGGATGGGTATAAATATGTAGATGAAAGTGAGAAGTCAAAGAGATTATATTGACACATTTGAGTTTGGCAGGCTTCAGAAAATTGGACCCTGGACTGAACACACTCATGACTTGCTGCGCAATCGCCACACACAGCAGCGCAACGCGTCTGCCCTTTAAACTCACCATCTGCTACTCTGTATCATTGTTGAGCGTTGCAGATCATGATTGACCACTACTTGACCTGCGCCAGTCTCACCCTCTGTTGGCATGCTCGTCGGTTGCCCCAAAGCTTTTGTCATGTGTGAGTGTGAATGTACAGTGGATGCAGTGGCTACGCCGCAGAGGTTGGCAGTGAAAGGAGCGAAGGTTCGCAAGATACATCAAGGTTGAATTAGACTAAGTATGAATGCTATGCGGTCCTGATCAATCAAATGGGATGCGACGAACGCCTGCTCTGAAAGGCTTCTCGCCACGGATGGTAGAGCTAAAACCTTGTTGGCGCTTCTTCTCCTCTTCCGCTGCTGCAAATGCGCTGGGTATGGGAATACCGCAGCAGTCACCCCAACCTGCAGCCTGACCTTGACCAGTGGCATGAGCATGTGGCTTGCCAGCAGGATGAATGTGTCCGTGCGCATCCTCTTGAGTGTCTTGATCCTCAAGCTCGCCTGGAGCAGGTTCGGGGAAACGCAGCAAGCTTCCAAAGAAAATGTGCTGAGCGATAGGTAGTTTCTTGAGCACTTCGGCATGGTACATTTTGATCATGCCTTGGTTGACCTTGCCCCATGATCTGGCACCTGAAATGTCGTCGAGCATCGGCGAGTGCCAGCGCAGTGAAGCTGTCTTGACAGAGTTGATGAACTGAATGCAAGCCAAATACATGTATCTGGAGGCAAACTCATCGACAATCTCGGCGTCGTGAATTGCCTTTGGTCGAAGGTGTCGGTGGTTGCTGAGTTGGCCAGCTCCCCACAAGAAGGGAAGGAAATGATAGTCGTCGAGCCCCCACACTCCATGACTGCCTGCTGGCTCAAGCCAATAGGAGGACTGGATGTCTCGCATCACCTGAATGTAGCTCCAAAAGATGCGAAGGACGATGGCTGGACCATCTTCTGGCAGACGCAGAGTGCGTAGCTTGCAAAGACAAAGCCTGAATCAAGCAAATAAGTCAGCCGGCAAAGGTCGAGCTGCTTTTTTCTCACAACAGCCGCAAAGGTACTCACAACCAACAAGCCATGTTGAGTTCCATACCGCTTCCATAATCGATCCTCTTCTCGTTGCCCCAGCTCTCTTGCAAGTAGACGCCAAGTTCGGCGCGAGCTGTTTGGGATGCTTCCGAATCATCTCCGAGTCCTGGAATCATGCGGTGCAATCTGTCGTTGTTATCTCGAATCTTTGCATAGAAAGTGCGGAAAGCGGGGTTGCCGAATCGAGAGGAGCCTATGGAGGCATCAGGTGGAGTTGCTTTGCGAATTGCCGCCACCTCATCCAAGATAGCGAGTATCGACTTGCATGTTGGTGATGTCTCGATATCGTCGGTCAGTGTCTTGCCAACGACACTCGTGTTGCAGACGCGGATAAAGGCAAGAATCTCTGCAAAAGTATCCGAGTGCTCGAACCTGTGCAGAGATGCAGGGGAAACGATGCGCTTGCGTGGTTCCTGGAAGATGTGCTCCTGTATTGACACAGTTTCGACATCCTTTGCTGTGCCTTGAGATTCTTCTTCCGATGGTGTGCTTGAAGGTGCTGGTGCACTTGTGCTGGACTGTGGGAACGAGTCTGAATTCGCAGGCCGACGCAATTTGGAGATGATGGCGTCTTTGGCTGCGTCAGGAACAGGCGTCTGTATGGAAGTGCAAGGCATCTTGAGCGCCAAAGTAGTCGAAAAGGTCTGCAGCAGAGCGTGAAGCCAAGGCGAAGTGCACAAGACTTGATGGTGGTAGAGATCAAAGTCGGCAGAGCCAAAAGAAGGTTTGTGTGCAGATTCAAGTGCGCAGCTATAGGAGGACTTGAGGACTTCAAGCTGCTAAAGATAGCCGGAGTTGCAGGGAAGCAAACCGTTCTTGACGAAGCCGAGGTGACATGGGGGATTATGTCAGCTTAGGTCAAGCCAAGTTGAGTCAAGTCCTTTTTCCCTCTCCCATTCTTCTCCACAGTCACATTGAGGAGGTGTATTTCTTTCCAAAGTCACATCAAGCAACACACGCACACACGCACACACACACACACACACACATGCACACATGCACACACAGATGCATGCACACACACATGCCAGGCAGGCAGGCAGTCAGTCTGTGTTTGGCCTATTCTTCCTCCTTCCTCCTTCCCCCTTCCTCCTTCCTCCTTCCTCCTCCTCCTCTTGTTCTTTTCCATAGGCTACTCCTTGTGCCAAGGCAACTCGACTCAGCAACTCAAGTGTCACATTGGTGACTTTGGCCATGATGGGTCGGCCCAGCTTAAGCTTCGACTTCTCTCCTCTTCTTCCCTTCGGCACCTCAGCCAATGATGAGTGGTCCAGGCTGGCTAGCTGGACAGCTTGGGTGAAAGCATCAACCTTCTCAAGCCTAGCCTGGCATGGCACCAGTGTTGCCCTTGGGAAAGAGAACAATGCTCTCCCTTTGGCAGGACTTGCTTGCTGCTGGCTTTTCATGGCACATATAAGGGGTCCAGATTGTTCTCACATCCCAGATTTGCCCTTCCTTTCTGTCATCTTCCTTGACCTTCATCTTCTTTCTCTCAGCTTCACTCTAAATTCGTCTGTAGCATCCTGTCAGAGGTCGCATGCCCAAAACCTGATATCTGTAATAGAGTCACATCTATTACAAATCCTGTCAAGATATGTGACAATGCTTGTGGTATTATGAATCTTGGCAAGATATGTAGTAGAGGTGTCTCTATCACTTTTCTCACTTGGAAATGCAGTAGTGGTTTTGCTATTGCAGGTCTCAACTGACTGCTGTGGACACTCCATCCAGAGGTAGCTCAGCACAATCAATAACTGATATGAACTGGTACTGACACCAAGGTCTGGTGTGAGAGATATGTTTGGTGGTGCTGACACAAGTGTCCAGTGTGTCGACTGTAGGCTTGAAGTGATCCCTGGACCACAGTGGATGACTACCTTCGGTTCTATCGTTATCTGGACCATGTCAGGGGTCTCGCGCCTGAAACCCAGGTTGGTCTGTCGAGATACTCAGTGACTATCAAACTGTGCAACAGCTATTGTCTCAGTATTGGTCTCGATGAGCTAGTTGCTCAGCAACTATCAAGTTGTGCAATGACAGTGGGTGACGTTCATTGTATATACTGTTGTAGGTTTCGGCTGACCTCTGTGGACACTCCATTCAGGGGTAGCTCAGCATGATCAATATCAATATGTAGGTTATGATGACACCAAGGTCTGGTGTGAGTGTTGATGATGATGAGGTTGATGGTGTTGGTGATAAGGTTGGTGGTGTCAACACAAGTGTCCAGTGTGTTGACTTGATGCTTGAAGTGATCCCCAGACTGCAGTGGACTACTGCCTTCGGTTCTATCTATATCTGGACCACTGGTTTGCTATGAACCGCCTTTGGACATCAGGTAGTGGTGATACAACACACACACTACAATGAGGAGCAACCTTGATGGATTGCTGCTATGCTGACTGAAACTAATATATACTTATGCTGAAGTGATAACTAGTTATGATGTGTGTAGAGTGGATGAGGATCCACTTGACCTTTGATGATGAGAAAGTATGGTTATATACCTCTTCACAGCATTGCCAGCAATGCTGCTCCTGCTCTCTCTCCAGAGAGTACCTTCTTCATCGAGTACTTGTACAGGGGGCCCCTCTAGCACCACTCCTGTCCTCCTTGAGCTATCAACTCCTTCGACACTGCTCCTCCTCCTCAGGACCTGCTTGCTGGTTACCTATACACTGCTCCTTCTCCTTTGACCGGTGACAGTTCCTTTGACTCTTGTCTCTCGAGCCCCTGAGTGGTAACCATCTGCATGCTCTTTGAGCTTGGTCCCCTTTGTGGCTGTGCCTGCTCCTTGAGCTTGGTCCTCCTTGTGGCTGTGCCTGGCCTTCCTCGCATATGGCTCAGTGCTCCTTTGCATGTGAGTCTGTAGGAGTCCATGGTCTCCATGGAGACTGCACTACGACCATGCTCTCTACTGGTATCGACTAGATCTTTGATACCTGTGCTCCTTCCATATGAACCAGTGACCCTCCTGCTTCTCGAACATTCAGGCCCATGACAGACCACAGGTTTCTATGAACCGCCTTTGGATGTCAGTGAGCAGCAATACAACACACACACTATGATGGATGCAATCTTATTTAGGTTGCAACATGCTGACTGGATACTAATGTATACTTATGTGTAAAGCTATAACTAGTAGTGTATGGTGTAGAGTGGATGGTGATCCACTCTCTTGCTAGGACAGAGAACATGGTTATATACCTTTCTTGCAATGTTGTCTGTGACACTGCTCACCCTCCTCATCCCTCCTATGCTCCCCATCCACCTTGTGATGCCACTTGTTGGCACCGCCTCCTTGTCTCCTCTGGATGGGTGGCCTCTAGCTGCTTCATGTCACAGGGCCAGCGCAGAGATCATAAGCAGCTGTGCTGTGCAGCTGCCAAAATGAGCTTGGTGTCATGGGCCTGAATGCTCAAGAAGCAGGAGGGTCACTGGTTCATATGGAAGGAGCACAGGTATCGAAGATCTAGTCGATACCATTAGAGAGCATGGTTGTAGTGCAGTCTCCATGGAGACCATGGACTCCTATGGACTCACATGCAAAGGAGGACCAAGCCCATATGCGAGGAGGGCCAGGCACAGCCACGAAGAGGACCAAGCTCAAGGAGCAGGCACAGCCATGAAGAGGACCAAGCTCAAGGAGCAGGCACAGCCACGAAGAGGACCAAGCTCAAGGAGCATGCAGATGGTTACCACTCAGGGGCTCGAGAGACAAGAGTCAAAGGAACTGTCACCAGTCAAAGGAGAAGGAGCAGTGTATAGGGAACCGGCAAGCAGGTCCTGAGGAGGAGGAGCAGTGTCGAAGGAGTCGACACAGCTCAAGAGGCACAGGGGTGCCAAGCAGGAGAGGCCCCTGAGCAGTACTCGATGAAGAAGGTACTCTCTGGAGAGAGAGAGCAGGAGCAGCATCGCTGGCGATGCTGAGTAGAGGTATATAACCATGCTTTCTCATCATCATAGGTCGAGTGGATCCTCATCCACTCTACTCACCATATAACTAGTTATCACTTCAGCATAAGTATACATTAGTTTCAGTCAGCATAGCAGCAATCTATCAAGGTTGCTCCTCATCATAGTGTGTGTGTTGTATCACCACTACCTGACGTCCGAAGGTGCCCATAGCAGGTTAGTGGTCCAGATCAAGATAGAACCGAAGGCAGTAGTCCACTGCGGTCCAGGGATCACTTCAAGCATCAAGTCAACACACTGGACACTCGTGTTGATGCCACCAACCTTATCACCAACACCATCAACCTCATTATCATCAACATCACCAATCTCATCACCAACACCATCAACCTCATCATCATCAACACTCACACCAGACCTTGGTGTCATCATAACATTGATATTGATCGTGCCGAGCTACCCCTGAACGGAGTGTCCACAGAGGTCAGCCGAAACCTACGATAGTATATACAACGAATGCCACCTGCTGTCACTGCACAACTTGATAGTCACCGATACTGAGACAATAGCTGTCACACAGTTTGATAGTCACCGAGTATCTCGACAGACCGACCTGGGTTTCAGGCGCGAGACCCCTGACAGTATATAACCATACTTTCTCATCATCAAAGGTCAAGTGGTTCTTCATCCACTCTACACACCCATCATAACTAGTTATCACTTCAGCATAAGTATATATTAGTTTCAGTCAGCATAGCAGCAATCTATCAAGGTTGCTCCTCATCGTAGTGCATGTGTTGTATCACCACTACCTGATGTCCGAAGGTGACCCATAGCAGGTCAGTGGTCCAGATATAGATAGAACCAAAGGCAGTAGTCCACTGCGGTCCAGGGATCACCTCAAGCATCAGTCAACACACTGGACACTCGTGTTGACGCCACCAACCTTATCACCAACACCATCAACCTCATTATCATCGACATCACCAATCTCATCACCAACACCATCAACCTCATCATCATCAACACTCACACCAGACCTTGGTGTCATCATAACCTATGTATTGATATTGATCGTGCCAAGCTACCCCTGAATGGAGTGTCCACAGAGGTCAGCCGAAACCTATGATAGTATATACAATGAATGCCACCTGCTGTCATTGCACAACTTGATAGTCACCAAATGACTAGCTTGTCGAGACTGATACTGAGACAATAGCTGTCACACAGTTTGATAGTCACCGAGTATCTCGACAGACTGACCTGGGTTTCAGGCGCGAGACCCCTGACACAGTTATGGCATCCTGACAGCTGTGAGATTCTTGGCAGGATCCCATTGATTAGCCAGCCCTGGTTGCTTCTTCCTTGGAGCCAATGGGAGCACAATCAATGGGGGTTTAAGGTTGAATGCAATGCTGGCCCATACCTGGATGCTGAAATGGCCAGAACAGAATGTTGGAACCATGTTGTTGATGTCTTCTCAAGGTTTTTTCCAGTGACTAACCCATGTGCATCCAGGCTGGTAGCCAACCTCGACAGCTGCCTCATCTGTGAACAGCACACCCCTCCAATCAGTGGAGCCATTAGCCTTGGCCCTTTCTAGACATTTATGCCAGTTTTTGGATGTCAGAAACGGCTTTTGGAGCACAATCTGGCAGTTAATACTGGCCTGGTATGCTGCTTTCCAGAGCTGCATTATTGG